TCTTCAGAAAATTGCAGATTACCTCTGACCTTGTAGGTTGCACGACATGGATCCCACTTCGCTGTCAAGTGTTAACCAGCCACAATTGATCTTTCACATCGTCCAGGTGATGCTCAAACTCCAGAGATTGTTGTAAACAAGCAACCTGACATAAATTTATACAAGATGTGAGAGCGAAGAACCAGGGGGTGGCATGAAACTGTAATAATGCTTTCAATTACTAAACATTGATTAAGCTAGTAGTGTATAACTGTATACCTTTGTGCGAATGTTACCAAATGGATTTAATTCATGTCCCTCCTTTGCAATTTCAACCTCGCCAGTAAAATGAAGGACCAAGCCCTGATGTTGCCAGCATATTTCAAATGCTACCATAAGCGTCCTGAAAGATTTTCTTTTGGGGTCAAACAGCGTCCTGAAAGATGTTGAGGATGAGTGGTAGTTCACCGCGCAATACAAGGGTTAGTGGTGCACCTATATTTGAATTCCAGTATTTTTATCTGTGACACCCCTACGTTTTCCAAAGGTGGTTCTAGCAAATGCATGCAACAATAATTATAAAGTTTATTAGTGACAAGATGCCCAGTAGGCCATACAAAAATGAGTAAATTAGTGACAAGATGAAGCTCCAAACAACGATGATTGATGAGGCAGCTATAATTGATCCAATAAAATCTGATTGTTTTAAATGTTACAAACGGCTTGTATTCCCCCCACCGCGCCTGCGTCGCTCCCCCATCTTGGGCGACTCAGCGGCCCCGCGCCAAGGCCGCCTCCTCGCACCCCTCTCCTCCTCGCCATGGCCATTGCTGCGGAGCTGGTGGCCAGCATGGCCGCCCGCCCAACCGTGATGGTGGCGGCGGGGCTCTCCTCCTCGTGGCGGCCAAGACCAGAGTGGCGAGCTGGTGGTCCGCCCTGCTGCGACCGGCGTGGAAGTTGACAAAGGTGGCGCTGTGGTTTGCTGTAACGCCGGCCGGTGTCCGTGGCAGCATGAGGGACGCACGACGCGAGTCTTCTTCTTCTCCGCGTTCCCCTTCTCCTCTCTTGATGGCGGCGGCGGCGGCGGGCCGGCCGAGGCCCGGTCCGGGGCCCATCGGCCGCGGATCCGGACCCAGTGCCGGATCTGTCTTAGCGGCGTGGCCAGTGGCGGGCAAGGCGGCAAGCAGTGGTGGCAGGGCCCATGCATCTTGTTGGGCGGTGCTTTCTTCTCTGCCGTCCCTCCCCTCATGGCCTTGGTCTTTCTGCGGCTCGGGGGTTGGTATGCCGGGCGGCAACACTGCAAACACTTTGCCCATGGCATGGCGTCGGCCGGCCATAAGGGCGAACCAACCCATGACGGTGTCTGCGGCTATGGTCAAGACGGAGGCGTCAGCGTCGGCGTCGGGGGCGTCGGTTTTGGGGCTGGCTTCCTGATTCAGTGAGCCTAGGACATGGGCGGAGCCTGACATGGTGGGGCACATCAAGCGGTGATGACGGCGATGACATCGGCAGTGCCGTGCGTGCGGTGTGACGCCTTAGGCAGAGTCGGTCCGGCTCTGCGTGGCCCGGTCGGAGGGGGTGGCGGCGTGGGCTGTCTTGGCGGCTGCTGCGTCTGGCAATGCGCGATCGATGCCCCTCTTAAGGGGCTTCCGTGAAGCGCCGGGGACACGCGATGGCGGTGAAAGGCTATGTGGGGTCAAAGCCATGACCCGCGATTGTGCTAGAGGGTTCTTGGGCAAAAGCCTTGGCGACGGCGACGCTGTTGGGCGTCGCTTCCCTGTTGGGAGCGTCGTATTCCCCCACTAGCATGTCTTCCAAGGGTGAAAACTCAATCCACTCTGGACGTGCAACGGTGACGCCATTGGCGTCACTCCCTTCCTGAAGGCGTCGCATTTGGATTATTGTCGCGGTTTCGATGCAGAGCGATGGTTTGCGTTTGGAAGTCGGAGCTGCTCTTCGGTGTTTGAGCTTGGCAACGATGACCGGGGGCGGCCGTTATCTCCAGACCCATCAGGGGGTGACTAATGGGTGGCCTACCATGGGAAGTCAGAGCTGTTGGCAGCTTGGCTTCCATGCTCGGCAACGATGATCCATGGCAACGTGCCGTGTTTGTGCTCAGCTGCGTCATGTGGGGTGGTTAGCCCATCGGGTGCCTTTCTAGCATCTCATCCGGCTAACCTTCTTATACATAATATTCTTTCGGCTTAATTGAGCGACAGAGCTCCTGCCTTTTGTTTCAAAAAAAAATGTTACAAACACATAAAATCGGTTTTCTTGAAGAACTATTAAGTTTATTAGTTCAGCTTTTCTACCTTATAACAGAACTAAAATCACTAACAATAAGCAATGCCACATCAAACAGAGGGTATCTCTTAAATAAATGCATGGTTAATTGCTCTTTTTTCTATCAAGTACCATTGCACCAGGACTTGGATCTTGCTACTTAGAGGAAAACAAATAATCACCTACTGCTTCTTTTTGCTCAAGTACAAGACTTAAGTCTCACTTTTCGATGTACAGACATACAATTTCTCATCTCTAAGGGATTGTACATATATTTTCATTTTTTTCAACTATTTTAGGGCCTGTTTGGTGGCGCTCCGGCTCCGCCAACAGCTCCAGCACCGGAGCCAGAGGAGCCGCACCAAATGGCGGCGCGAGGAGCGCTTCTGCGCGTTTGGAGGAGCCGGAGCCCTTTTTGCGTACGGAGGTGGAGCCACAATTTGCAACTCCGGCCTCCGCCTCCGGCTCCGGTGGAGGAGCACACGGACGCAAAGCCCTACCAAACACGGCCTTAATTATTTTCTAAGAACACCAAATGAAAGGATGATAGATTGCTTCTGATCATAGATCATACACCAAGTGGTTGAGATTGGGGAACGAATAGCCCAACTCATCTCCAGCTCTCTTCATATATTACATCCATTTCAGCATATGTATAATACTTTGTGTATGGCCGTGAAATATAATTCAAGGACTAGATATCAATCCCTGCACATGAATACCAAAAAAAGTAAGGAGGAAGGGCCGAAGAAGGCAAGAACAAGTTTTGTAAACAGTACACTAACGATAAGCTAAGGTTTATTCACCTATGCTGCATATTAGGGAATTTACATAATCCTAGTTACTTCTTAGGTTCAGTGGGAAAGGGTGTTCTGCAGGTTAGCAATAATGAGGTAACATGTCCAGACCCAACCATCTGTATCTCCAGTATCTAGTAAACACCTTCAGTACACTGGGTCAGGAACTTAACCCATCCCACAACTTTGTCCGGGTATGGATTTTCTACATAACTGTCAATAATGATACAGTATTAGGACCTAGTTAGTATAGTAAACTAATGCTAGGATCAATCTAATAACATCAATGAAGAGGCCATATCATCATCATGGTTATGATAATTTCAAGTAAATATTAATCTAACAAGTTTGCCAGAATCACCACATTAATCCATCATTATATATGTGGCTTCATCCATTTGGTGGCATTAATATGCACTTAGCACCATATCTGTACATCTTCATATGAATGAAAATATTTTCAACGCCATGTATGCAACTTCACTACCCATATAATGGTTTCAATGTTTCAAATGGTTCAAAAATACCCATGGAAAGCACAACTACTAACATTGTAACATTCTTTGCTCACCACAAGAATGTAACAAGGTTTTTCTAAGGGATGCAAAGGGTAAAAGAGTAATCAGTATGCTACCATGGCTGATTGGACATGCAAATAATGTTTTTGCAAATACTGATAAAACATGTGTTTTCTTTAGCATAGCTCTGTGATCACTGACAGTACATGGCACGCCTGAGGTAACTCAAGCCAAATAGCAAGTTTAGATTTGGTGAACAACATATCAGAGCTAGCGAATAATAAGATGAATGCCACATGGACAACAATGTTGTGTCATGCAAATAACAGTATAAACAATTCATAGCATATCTGAAAAAAGTGCTTGAGCCCAAAAAAAAACACTTAAGGGATTATATCACGAAGATCAGCTTGAGAAAAATGTTACGAATGAAATACAAATAGCTCTAGGAGCAAACAAATCTACAGACATCAACTATAGTTAGCCATATCATGCTCCTTGCAAAGAATTCTGGCATAAGCAGGTTTATGAATTTCCATAAAGAGACTAGACAAGCAGTTGAGTGGTTCTACCTCCTAAACAGTGCAACATTAATAAAGTCACATGATGTATCATATTATTTCACAAAAAAAAAAACTCTTCAGACAAATACTACTATGCTTTCCTGGAGAGAGAAAAATAGGATCCCAAAGCACCCTTAAAATGCCTAATTGCTCCTCAGGCCAGATTAGTCAAAAGTTTTCAGCCCCTCAAGTCCCGATGAGAAGTCCATTCACAGAGGCAAGAACTATCAATGCCCTAACACCTATTGCTGGCCCTCGCATCGCTGCGAACTTCCCTACCAATACCTGACACATTCACACCTTTTGGGCTAAGTACATAGACATTGCCCATGAGAATCCTCAATGTGAACTCGTTACAACCAAAGCTTTTTATGTTTGGCATCTTTTTCTAACAGACTCCAATAATATTGCCACTTTTCGTCACATGGAATAGATAACAGGGTCACAAGTGCAAAGGAGTTGTCCTGCCAAAGGTTGAGAGGTTCTGTGGCCTGGAAGGCAAGCTTGCCATGGCCCACTGAATCAAATAAGATACAGTCCCACCCCACCCCACCCCACCCCTGACACACACAAACACAGGGAGAGACCAGATGTGAGGAGCATGGCAACGAATTGACAGTTCAAGTAGCAAGGGTAATGAGCTAGGGACCCGGGTCCCAGAGCTTAAGTGAGTAATGTACCCATAACAACAATTAGGCTGACACTTAAGTTTGCTTCAAGATTTGCCTTTTCCATTGGGGAAGCATATAAACACCTGCGAACACTTTAAGTTAATAACATAAATGTGTATCCAACAGTTAAAATTTGAAATCAGAAGTATAGAGAAGAAGATTGTACCGAGTAACTGCAAAAATATTTCTTCAATCCATTCTGCTTCTCCATTTCAATTTTGATTCAAGGTCAAAAAACTTCAATCCAGATATCACCAAGTCTGCAGCGGCCTTCTTCAAGTGCTCGTTCAGCATGTCCTCGTAGACAATAAAATTGGCTTCTGGTAAGATATTTCGATCTCTCATGATAGTGAATACCTGTCTCGCCTGAGTTGAACTTGCATACTTGCAGAAGCCATATATGATCGCAGAATAGACAATTTCTTCCATTGAACAACCTACTTCAATCATCTCATCCACCACATTAATGACTTTCTCTGGGCTTTTTGATCTGCAAGCTTCCAGAATAGTCAAGGTGTATTTAAATTCAGTTGGCCCATTTTCTACATTTCTAAGACAATCTTTAACAAGTGATATGGCTGCGTTGATCTCCCCCATCTTGCAAAGCCCTTTCACAAGAACACAGTAGGCTGACGTACTCGGTATCCAATTTTCCTTCATCATGGTGTTGTAGCATGAGCAGGCCTCTTCGACATTTCCTTCATCCACGAAACATGGGATCATAAGACTATATGTACATGAATCTGGTTTAAAATCAACTGAACTTTGCATTTCTTCAAACAGCAGAAGTGATTTCTTCCTATCCTTGATCTTCAGCAGATTTTCAATAAGAATGTTATAAATGCCGACGCTACAATACTGTTTTTGTCTCAACGCATCAAACACTTCCATAGCCTTCAATTCCCTACCATCCTTTCCTGCAAAGAGCTTCATAAAATCTACCAACATTTTAACAACAGGCAAGCCCAGCTCTGCCAGTTTGTTGACCAATCCAAAAAATGTAACCATTTCACTCTTTTCGGCATAACAAGCTAGCAATGGTGAAACAGTATCAGAACTTGGCATAAGCTCCTCCTGAAGAACAATCTGAAATAACTTATGAGCCTTATCCTCCCTACCTATGACACACAGTCCACTAATAAGTGTGTTATATATCCCCAGGTCAGCACGGTAGCCAGCATCAACCAACTCCTTCAACAACTTACACCCATTTCCAACCCTCCCAGCAGAAACGTACCCATCAATGAGTGATGCATACACCATCCTGTCCACCAGTAACCCCTTGTTCCTCATCTCCTTGAACAATTCTGCTGCTTCCTCCACCATCCCGGCGTTGCAGAGCCCCCCAACCATCGTAGCATATGCCATTGTGTCTGGCTCCACCCCATCCTTTTCCATTTCCTCCCACACACTGATGCAGCCATCCATATACCCCCTCCGCACCATTGTCTTTACCAGCGCAGTGTACACAAAGACATCAGGCCGACACACCTCGTTCCGCATCCTTCCAATCATTTCCAGAAGCCTATCAGTCATCCCCATGCATGTGCTAGTGCACGAACCACGATGGCAAACGTCACTGGGATAGGCTGCACGCCACCCTCCGACATTTCATCGAACAGCTTGAGCGCGTCCTGGACGTGGCCCGCAGCAGCCAGCGCGCCAAGGCGGTTGCGGTTGCACGCGTGGACCTGGGGTTGGACGTCGAACTCGTGGCGGAAGCGGCGGAGCGCGTGGAGAGCGCGGAGGGGGCGGCGCGAGGCGGTGTGGAGGCGGACGAGGAGGTGAGCTGCGAGTGGGAGACGGGCTTGCCGTGCGCGCGCATGAGGTCGGGGAGCTGGTCGGCCGCGGCTGGGAGGCCCGCGGCGGAGAGCAGCGAGGCGAGGGCGTGGAAGGCCGGGAAGCAGTGGCGGAAGCCCTTCTGGCGGCCGGCCCAGAGGAAGAACGGGAGCGCGAGCGGCGGCGGCGGGGGCGGGCGCGCGGTGAGGACCTCGGCGACGAGGGATGGCGGCAAGCGGCGGAGCTTGGAGAGGTCGGCGACAACGGGCGGGCCCCAGCGCTGGTGGCGGCGGAGCGCGTCGAGGAGGAAGCGCGCGAGCGGGAGAGAGGCGGCACGGAGGCGGATGTGGAGGCGCCGGCGGAAGGAGAGGAGGGAGAGGGAGCGGATGACGAGGAAGACGGCGAGTGTGGATCCCAGTCGCGGAGGCGGAAGGCGGTGGCGGTGGAGGGGGAGGGGGAGGGGGGAGGGCGGGGTATTGGGGAGGGGAAGCGGAGATCGGTGAAGAGGCCTCCGCGGACTGTCGGACGGTGCGGCGAGGCGCGGCAGTGGCCGTGGTAGATGGTGTGCCTGCGGCGGCGGGCAGTGGGAGAGGATGGGGACGGGGAGGCCATGGCGCCGACCGGCGGTGTGAGGGGGCGGCGCTGATGCGCAGTGGCAGAAAGTAGTGATGGAGGGAGAAAATGGTCATTTTGCCATTACGAAACGTGGGTTTGGCTGTTTTGCCATCCTGTTTTGCCATTATCAAACCGAACACAGCTGCTAGAGTGCCATTTGACCGATTTATTGTCAAATTTAATCATTCTTTTATTCTCTCAATCCTTTAGTTCCCGATTTACCCCCGTTCTTATCCCTTCATTTCTTCCTCATTGACGAGAGCACGAAAGCCCTTCCTTTCTTCTGTCCCTTTATCACGGAGAGCACAAACGAGAGAGACGAGAAGTCGAAAAAAATGAACGAGAGAGATGAGACGGAGACAGGACGTGAGGAGAGGGAAAGGCTCGTCTGCCGTGGCAGTCTCCGGCAGCCCACCTCCTCGACTGTCGCCGGCAGCCAGCCAAGCTTCGCGGCCGGCCGCAGCCACCCAACGGGCAGCAGCAGCAGCTCGCGTGGACCAGACGGCGGGCAGGAGCAGCAGCTCGCGTGGGCGGCCAGCGACAGGCAAGAGCAGCAGCTCGTGTGGGTGGCCAGCGACGGGCAGGAACAGCAGCTCGCAGATCTGGCGTTGGTCCTGGCGCCACGGCGAACTCGCATCGTGCCGGCCGTGACTGGCTAGTGTAGAGTCGGCCGCGGCGGCGGCCGGACGTCGAGGAGGCCGCACCGTCCTCCTGGAGTAGCGTCAGCAGTGGTCCGGCGCTGTCGAAGAAACGGACGTTTTTTTCCGACCGGCGGCGGTCTCTCAGTGTGAACGAGGAAGAAAGGAGGAGGGGTAAAACAGGAATGAAAGTATGAAGAGAATAAAAGAATGATTAAATTTGACAATAAATTGGTCAAATGACATTCTAGCGGCTGTGTTCGGTTCGATAATGACAAAACAGCGAATTCCTTTGCAGATGACAAACCAGCGAAATCCACGTTTCGTAATGGCAAAACGACCATTTTCTCGTGATGGAGGTGTCAATTCAATTCGTACTGGGCTAGGCTTCGTATATACAAAGGCCCAGACTTGGTCCAAGCTCTAATCACGGTCGGGCTGTCAGCCACGAAAGGCCCACTCCATAAATAGGCCTGCAACTATTTTGGGTTGTTATAAGGTCGGGCTGTCAGTATGACAGTATTCCTTGTTGGTTCCGTCAATTTTTTTTTCGAAGCACAATCCACGGGCTCTCATATAACGCATGTAAATTCATCACGAGCGCATGCACACACACTGACACACAGCTAGAAGACACACTAGGCCAGCAGATAAGGTTGAAACTATGTTTGAAATTAAGCCCTGACAAAGAATCGATTTCTCATTTACGAAGTGCAATCTGACTCTTTAGACGTTTCTATCCAATGGGAAGGGTGTGTCATCCAATGGTAGGTGCCCTGTTCTTGTCTTATGAGCCGTACTATTTCAGCGAACGAACAGTGTTTTTCTTTCACAACAAATCAGTGAACAGTACTTTCAGACATGACTTTTCAACAAAGCGAACATGGCCTAAGTGGTTGAAAAGCTTTTGATTTTCGATTGAATTCTAAAGAATACAAACATAGAAAGATGTAAATTGAATGACTAACTATCTGAAGAATGACTAACTATTTTCGAGTTGTTGACATTATAGAGGTGCCCAGCAAACAAGATTTTGGCATGACATTTGGTTGGGGACTGCCCTTTAAAGATTAGCTGTTGACATTATAGAGGTGGCCAGCAAACAAGATTATTTCAGATTTCCACTCATCCAGATATAGAGGTTGCACAAGCTAATGTGAATAAATGGGTAATCTCTTTCAGAAGACAACTAAATGAGGCATTGAGAGAAGAGCGGGATGAACTCTAGGAACTTTTGAGTGATGTAAATTAACCTCTCTCTAAAGGGAAGGACGCTGTCTATTGGGCACTGGAACGTTCTCGGAAATATTCAACTAGCTCGTTATACAAAGATGATGACTTCAGGTGGCATTATAGATACACAGATGATCGTGGCGTGGAAATGCAACATTCCTCTTAAAGTTATAAGATCTTCCTTTGGATGGTTGTTCATGATAGAATTCAATCTGGGGTTCAACTGAAGAGGAAACAATGGTCTGGACCTGAAGATTGTGTGATATCTGATAAACTGGAGACTATATCCTCTTCCAGTTTCCCATTGTTGTTTTTATGTGGTCTCATCTGAGAAATGCCCTGGGGCTTCCTAAATCGCCAACCAGTTGTGCATATTTTTTTGTTGCGCTAGTGGATGTTTGTCAAGGAAAAAAAAAGAAAGGTGACAATTTTCTTATGTGCATGGTGCGTTGTGGACTATAATGTAAGACCATGAATGACGGTGTTCAACAAGAAGGTGTTGTCCTCGCAAGTGATGATCATCTACAAGACGCTGATGCTGGTGAAGACTTGGCGACATCTCCTGAAGCCAAAGCTAAGACACATGGAGGATGTCGGATGAAATGGTCAATCTGGTCTCAGCGAGTGCAAAACCTTTTGTAGTTCTAGTTTGTTTGCTTTTGTGAGCTATGAGTTGTCCACTTGGTTTAGTTGAGTTGTTGCTTGTGTGACTTTGTTGGTGGTTGATGGTAGATGTTGCTACTCTTTCCTTGTAAGCTGGTGGTGTTTCCGAAGCCGTTGACGGCTGTTGGTGGCCACCGCCGCCATCACCGTCGCACCGGAGGCGGTGCGCTGCTGCCGGGGCGGTAGTGTTGCTGGTGCCGGCGGCATAGGCAGCGACGACATTGCTGCTCGGCTCGGCACCAGTAGCGTTCGTGTAGATGTTGAGGTTGTAGGGTGGCACATGGAGCGTCTGGCGGACTGCACGAATCAAAGACTCATGTGGCTGGCGCTGGCCATTCATGGCCTTGGGCGCTTTCCTGCCATTCTGGATGCTTGGTTTTTCTGCAGTGTAGGTTAGAAAAGAAATATATTTGTGTAAGTAATTTTGAATTTCCAAAGGACTAATAGAGCACTAAGAATTTTTCATGTAAACACACACGTACGTGTGTATGCGTGCGTGCGTGCGTGTGTGTGCGCGCATGCGCGTGCGCATGTGTGGCGTGTGTGGTGTGTGCGCACCTCGCACATGTGGTGTGTGTGGCACGTGCGTGCGTGTGTGTGCACGTGTGTGGTGTGTGTGGACTGTGTGTATGCGCATGTACGGGCGCCTGTGTGCGTGTCTATCTATCTATGTATATGATTAGTATTAATGATATACTTTCTCTGTTCTAAATTATAAGTTGCTCTGACTTTTTTGATTTATTTATTTTGCTATGTATCTAAACATATATATTATTATATCTAGATGTATAATAAAATAGATGTACCAAAAAATGAAAGTCAAAGCGACTTATATAATTTGTACCAAAATGGATGTAAACTGTATCCATGCATGATCCGATGCACTGCAATGGAGTCAACGATGCCGCGGAAATCGAAACCGCACTTGGTGGCGGGACGAGGATGACGTCGATGTCTTTGATCTTGCCACCTGATAGTCCCTTTAGGGCACAGGGGGGAGGCTGGGGCATGGATGTGACCACTGCAAAGGGCTGGTCTTCTAGCCGCTTCAGAAACTGAACAAAAGCGTGGTAAAAGATGCAACAAGGTAACAATTGTTTTTGTTAGATTGTTCCCTAAAAATGACCATGGTATGATGAAAGAATAATGTTAAGATCCCATGCTAGAAAACTACATTTTAACTGGTGCCCGTGCTAACGCTACGGCTTTATTTTAGGGATACCTATGAAACCAACTAAACGATGATATTTTGTTCCATAGTTTAACTTTTGCACAATTGTATTTGAATATGTATACAATCCGGGAAACACTTTTGCATAAAAAGACATAATAAAGTTATTTCTCACATTAACCATCTAATTTATAATCTGCCTAAGTCCTTAAACATGTATTGGAGATCTTTAAAGAAGCTGTCAAAACTTCAAAATTGTGAGTTAGGCATCAAAATTACCAAACTTCAAAATTCTCACTGCATTGTTTAGAGCTATCAGGGATCTTGTTCTGCATATACTCTTTTCATAGCAATGCAAGTGCGTGCTACAACTAATCAAGAAAAAATGGGGACTAATGAACAGAACTGGTTCAGGGACTGAACACGAAGCCATTACTGAATCAGCGGCAACAGGTACACTGCACGCCTTTAACTAAAACTAATATCAAGAAGATTCAAGACCTGTAGACAAACTTAACTAAAACTAATATGAAGAAGATGCCTAAAAGAATATGGCAAGGAGAAAAAAAAATACTAACTGCTCTTTGAATTCCTTAAATTGTTTAGATTTTGTTTCAAGATCTTTCATCTGGGAACTAACTTCTAAGTATTGCTTTTGAGCTTATTCAATATAAGCTGAAACCAAAAGCTGTTGAATTGTTGCCAGTAGCTGCCAAAAAATACCATGATAAAAATACCAGTGGATGACCATATATATACACATAAACTTTTCTTAATAATTTTAACTACTACCATTCCCCATAACCAATCAACATCACAGGCTTGACATAGTCATAACACCCGTAAAAAAATACCATGACAAAATTTGTGGTTTTAGTTAATTACAGGCTTAATAACATGCTCTTGTTATTTCAGACATGAACCTACGAGGCATCAACATACAGACTTGATAACTTGCCAATAGCAGTACAGGCTTAATAGCAGTACAGACTTGATAACTTGCTTTTGTTATTTCAGACATAACGGAAAGACATACAGGAGGTCCTAACCTGATCGTCAATCTGCGGCGTCTCCTCGTCCTCCCTTCCTGATCCCTGCAGCGAGGGAGGCTCCCTGCCGCGCTAGAGCAAGCCGGGGCGAGATGCAGCGGCCGGACGGCGAGCACGCGGTGTGAGCTGCTTCTGCTAGACGGCGTTGGCGTGTTGCTCAATTGTCAACGGCCGCGACTGTGAGCGATGGAAGGCTGCTGGCGCTCGGCAAACTGAACGCACCTGCTTGCCAACGCAATCAGCAAGCTGCACGCACCTGGCTGCCAACGCGGCGGCCTGATCTCCACCGGCGCACCCGCTCGGCCGCCGCCTGATCTCGACCGGTGCAGGTGCTCGGCCGCCACCTGATCTCCACCGGCGCACACGCTTGGCCGCCACCTGATCTCCACCGGCTGGCGGCTGATGTTCCTCGGTTCCTTGAGCGTTCCATGCGTCCAATGAGCGATGGCGAGCGCGAACGATATGGCGAGCGGGTGCGCGATCGCGGCAGGGGGCGACGGGGCTGGCGAGCGCGAGTGCCGATTGCGGCAGGGAGCGACGGAGAGAGGTAGGGAGCGTGATTCTCGCTCGGGAGTCGCGCGCGTGAACAGCGGCGCGGCTGGTTTCCGTGGGGCGCGGGTGAGGGCGAGGAGGATGATACATGCGATCTTGGCCTTGGATTCGAGTGAATAAGGCGAGAGAAGATTTAGTATTAATCTGGACAGTTCGTTTTAATGATGTTGTTTTTCTAGATATAATTTTATGAGTGGATGTACGAGGGGCTTCTCAACGGGGGACATTTTTTTATGTGGATGTAGCAAAGAAAAGACGGTGAAGTAGTAGGGTAGACTAGCCGAACACTCAATCAAAGAAGCATAACAACCATAAGATGCATAAGTTCCAAGCAGTCATTACATCGACTTATCACACAGCAACGTCTCCAGCAACAACACAAGCGGACTAGGCTTTACTCGCAGGTAGTTGCACCACGGACTGCACCGTGTCCACGCCGCCTTGCGTACATTGTACATGAAGATGGACCGAATTACAAGTTGGCAACACGACTGCATACAGGTAAAAAAGTTCCTGAGCGGACTGAAAACCTAAGCAGGTTTTGTTGATCAACGCATCAGTTTCTGCATGTGACAGCTAGTTTGTTTGGAAAATCCTAAAGTAGTGAACTTTAAATGCACCTAAGCTAAGCGTGTTTTGTTTTTGTTTTGTATCGTGGAAATTGGTTGTATAAACAGCCATAACGGCTAGTTTTGACCCCTAATAGCCCCGCGTCCCACCCGCTTACGCTCACCATCTCGCTCACCCCTTCCCCTGCACCTCCAGCGGTGCGCACCTCACGCCGAGTGGTCCTGCTCAACCGGCCGCCTGGCTAAGCTCCGCGCCACCCCATGATGTCGTGCCGCTTCCCTAGCCACGTCTGCCTTCCCAACGTTCTGCAGCCTCGGCCTCCTCGCGGCCTAGTTTTTTTACATCTGTGATATGATTTTTTTCCGTGCAGCTTTTTGAGTCCGTGATTTGAGGAAATAATCCTGTGTAGAATAGATTGCAAGTGTGTGGAATATAAACGTGATTCCTAATATTTTTTATACTCCTTTGATCATGACTTTATCTTTTTTGAATAATTGTCTTAGAAGTATGGGCTATCTCTTTTTTTTAATACTTTGGAACCTTCATGTGTTCCATTCTTTTTCTTCTTTTCTTTTGCTATTTTGAGAGCTTCATATGTCTCTCTCTCTTTTTTCAGTATAGCCCCATACTCTTTTTGGCATATGAAAACTTTGGAGAGAAAGACTCATGACAAATGAATGGAGTTTTTATTTTAGGTGGACGAAAAACATGTTTTTGTGTAACTTTCAGTGTAAGAGTCAACATTTATTTGTGGGTGTACGTGAATCTTAATCATGAGTGCATGACTAGAATCTTAACAAGGGTTACAACAATTTGACAAAACTTAATGTGAATATAAGTAGCACATGACTAAGGTTTTGAATTTGAATCATGTTATATGGCCGTAGTAGAAATTCATAATCATTGAGGAACTTTTGATTTCAACATTAAAAAAAAAACTCCGGATGTCAAGTTTCTCTTAGAACAAAGTCATAGCATATTCTATTTACCATATCATAACCTGCAACAACTTAGAAAAGGATCATACTTTTGCAATCCACAGGTTTCAAGCTTTTAGGATAAGACATTTTTAGCCAATAAACTTAAATCTTGGGGAATACTAAGTTACAGCCTAGGCACAGATGAACTATAAACAGAGCAACTATTTATCATTTCAACAAGAGAGAAACTAAATATTTTTAAATCACATATGAGAGTGGAATAATTATTTTTTTGCTATTTTTATCATATAACTTCTTTTGATTTATATTTTTCATTTTTAATGCTAATAATTAAATAAATGCAGAAAATAAATAATGCAGAAAATAAAAGATACTACTTACCTCTGCGAGGTCCTCCCAAGCTAGTTTGTAAGCCTCTCAGATCCTTCAAATTTTGCTTTTATTATATTGTAGAGGCAAAAACTCGAGGATTTTTATTATAGCTATTTATTATTCATACTATATTATTTTGGGTTCACCAAAAGGTTTTGACCTTGTCTCCGCTCATTACTTACTCTTATGGATTTGATTGTTTCCTCAGGGGTTAGTCTAAATACCAAACCAAAATCTACACTCAACAGTTTTAGATTCAATGATCAAACTAGACTTCAAGTTTTGTTTGATCGAGGTAGGATGATTAACCTAAGCACCATGCTTAATTTAAAAAGCCTATGAAAGTATGATTGATCACAAACCATATTTCAAACCAAAACATACTTTATATAGAACATGGTAGGATAAACAAGTTTTATTGAAGTGAACATATATGAAAGGTGAACTAATTGTTTTATTTTTAGCATAATTTAAAGTATAGTCTATAGTTTTATTATATAGAGGTTTTAAGCAAACTATAATTGTAAAGGATAAATACCGATTTACCTTTGGCAAGGGATTACCTTT